GGCTATATAGCCGTTTTTGGCTGTTGGGGGAGGGGAAGAAATGCGTCAAAGTTATGACGCGGTAAACATAACGTCGGGATGAAGCCCATGGGCGGTGGTGTTTAATACCCCGGCGTTAAACTCGGCCATCACGCCGGTGGACCTGAAGACCATTACCACTGCTCTTAGAGGTATATGCGTATTTTCACTCTTTCAAAATGGTAACCAAGAGTAATTGAGTAAACCCAACTAACTTTCTTTTAAGCTAACACAAGTAACAGCCAAAATAAAGTGCCGAGCGACAATCCAGAGAAAGAATTTTGTTTTTTTTTTGCTCGTCAAAGTAGAACGAGAGATCAAAAGACGAAAACTCCGAATAACCAGAAAGTTTCCGGAGCTCCTTCAATCATTGTCGTCAATTGAAACCGGAACCGCGGGGTTAGATGTCCTTTCCATCGATCTCCGGTCAGTAAGTTAGTTTCTTACGGAGTATTTTTTAGTTTTGGTGGTTTGAAGATGCAACGGAACTTCGAAAGACGATGGCTTAATTCTTAGAAGCTCTAAAGTTAATTGGAATTTCGAATTTGTTTTCCGTTTTCAAATTTGTAAAATTTGTGATTTCGATTAGGTGCTAGTTGGCTCATTTCCTTTTCTTAATTTAGGGTTTCTTAGATAGTAAAGTTTAACTGTCTTCTTTCAGTTCATTGAATTCTCGGATAGTTTTTGAGGTTACTCCTCAAGTTGTAAATTGCTTCCTCGCTTTAATGCATGTAGCACTGAGTTCTTTTGAGTAATACTTGGAAAATTTGATTTTAGTGTTTGCTAAGAAAGAGTGTGTTTGGCTGTGCTTTTTGGTGACTGATTCTTGGCTCTGCGTTGGAGAGGCACAATCTGTATTTAGAGGGTGTTTGGGAGTGTGGTGAGTTATGTAAAAGTAGAAGTCATAATTTAGAAGCAGAAAGCATGTATTTGTAGCTTTGTTAGAAAGCACTTCTAGACCTTAATTTTAACTTCTAAACCCATAATTTATAAGCTAAAGAAGATCAGCAAACATTTAAAATTGTGTTTTAGTAAAGTAGAAGCTATAAGTTATTTTCAAATGCAATCCCAAACACCCTCTTAAGCTGTTGAGCTGTGTGTTAGAGTTTACTCAACTTATGTGTTAGACTCTTGGCAAGAGGTGCTTTGGAGAGAAGTAGCTTTAAAGCGATTTGTATGACATTTTACCTAGAATCTAACCCAAATTACTTCACCTCTTTGCTTCTAACATTCCATGATTATAGGAAGTTCCAGTTTTATCAAATCTAAGGCTCTACATGAGCTAGTCTTTTCATTATCTTCTCATCATTTTTAGTTAGGATGGATACATTTGAGGTAGGTTATGATTTATCTGGATAGTTATGATATGCCTGTTTTATTTCTGTGGTTCTCTTTTGTCAGGTGTGTGAGTGGAGATCAAGATGATGTCAAGATCAATGCTGCTTGTATTTTTGTTAATGGTACTCATAATCACATCTCAGTTTGAATGGAAACAGCAACTAGTGAGTGATGGTGAACAGAGTGCTAGCATATCTCAAAAGCAAAAACAGATTTCTCAGAGAGAAGAAGTTGTAAAAGAAAAGGTTTGATTAACAGCTTTAGTTTATATTGATTTATTATTTAATTCACCATTTGCGTGTCTTTACAGCTTTTCATCTCATTTTTAGTTTCGTGTCTTAAATTTTCAGTTGGCCTAATTTACTAGATATGGAAACGAGTCAATTTCCATATAATTTACTTCAACTATCTAAATTTGTGGTGAAATAGTGTGTATGTGTGTGTATTTATATATATATATATATATATATATATATATCACCTGCCGCTCTCTAAGATCTGCATTCTTCTTCAACTTTCCTTCTATGATTGAATTGCTTCATGGTTTGTTTGGAAACATAGATTTGAATTTCAAATTTAGTAACCCAGATTACATGTTTTGGAATCCAAAAAAAAATTGGATTTGGAGTTGGATTTGGGCCAATTCAACCCATTCCTAACAAAGCTCAATTACAAATCCGCACACTCCCCTTTGTAAATTGAAATCCAAGAGGTCAAATTTTAGAATTGAAATCCAAGAATTCAAATGAATTCCTAGTTTCAAGACATTATCTTATTATATTTGGAATCTATTTTGCATGTATTCTCATATTACAACAACAACAACAACCCAGTTGAATCCCACTACAGTAGGGTCTGGGGAGGGTGTGTGTACGCAGACCTTGCCCCTACTCGAAAGTAGGGAGGCTGTTTCCAAGAGACCCCCGGCTCAGCATGTATTCTCATATTGTTACTCTATATTAGAGAGAGATAGAAGGTTGTGGAGGATGGTTGGCCTTTGACTTTCATTTTCAGTATTCAAGTTGTAGTTAATAAAGGGCACTTGACTTATCTGAGCAAGGCAAAGGGGTGACCTGTGGCTCTGTGTCACCTGTTGCCCCAGGGAGGCTAGATACGATATGCAATGTGAGGCGCTCACTTTGGTATTTTGTATTTGGGGTTAGAGGTGCTCGCCTCTAACTTGAAAGTGTTTTTTTTGTCATGTTTAGTTTTACAAAAGAAGGTTGAGTTAGGCCAACCTTTTTAAAAAATGGTTTAACTTTGATAAACTATGGGCGGAATGCAAAAGACTCAAACAACATATGTAAGTCATGCAACAAAAAGCGACATATGTAAAACAATTGAGCCACTAATCGCCAGTGTCGACGATGCAAAGTTCAGTTTGATTTGAGTGAGGAAGAATTGGATTATTAATGAATGATGACATGTTAAAGTTGACTACTACCTTCATCCAAATATTAGGACACAGTTTGACCAAACACGAGTATTGAGAATGTGAAATTTTTGTTGTTGAGATTTATGCAGAAGAGACAAAAAATAATATGAACTTGTTGCTCCTTAGGAGGAAATGAGACATAGTTCTAGGAGAAGGGGGTTTTTAATAGTTATATGTTCAACTTGCGAATATATCTTGCCATCAATTGCACTGTATATTTTTTAAATAAGTTGCGTTGTTCACCTCTTTGCCTTAAAAAAGAACCTCCCTCCGCCGTTCACTTCTCTCTTTTCATAACCATGATGTAAGTAATCTGGACAAAAACATGCCTGAGTTGGTTCGCGCAATTATGTAACTGTGCCAAACCATTTCATCCTTTTTCAAAACCTTGAAGCTGGAGTACTGTTTGGAATATCTTAATCTTCAGCCCCACAGACTGACATCCTCATAAGATACTTTAAAAAGGTAGCGCTACTAGTTTACAATAGTTGATGTCTGTCAATGCCCAGCTCAAACATTTACCACATCAGTTACATGTCTTCCGCATAAACGTGTCTTGAACAATTCTGACATTTTTTTCCAATACATGCTGCAGGTTATATTGTCACAGGAAAAGAACATTCAGAGACTAAATGAAGTTGTGCGAAGTCTAAGAGAACAATTGCAGCAGTGCAAGGGCAACAATGAGTCGGTGAATGGTGGTGCTCTTAGCTCGCTGACAGAGAACATCATCGAACTTGAACAACAGCAAATTCTGATGGACTAGACGGATGGCACGGCATCAAATAGTTTGACATCCTCATCTGTATGTGCTATATATCTGTTCGCATATGCATGCTGCAGTAATTCTTTGCATTCTGGAATCTGTTGTGGGTTGGAGAACTGATTTTAGGAATTCTCAAATGTATCAGTTTCTTGAAACCATCTGCTTGTCTCTGAGATTCGCTGAGGATCGAGCAGTTTAAATTCTGACGATGCTCTTATGTATAGAAATTTGAGTGGCAAGTCCTAAGTATATTCTTATAGTTGCATGACCGCAACACCAAAGAGTGAATGCTTTGTTGATAACTGGATCATTATGCGCATTTTATACATTTGATTTGAGAAGATCTTTGTTTTCTTGAAGTAATCAACCAAAATAAGTCTAAAACATAATCCTTACCCCCAAAATAAGATTGACATGTTCTTATCTTTAAAATAAGATTACTGCATTGTGATAATGTGACACTACATAGTGGCATTCCACTTTGTTCTTTGGTACTATATATTAAGAATAATAGATGTATTAGGAAATAGAATATATTTATTCATTACCTTCTTTATTACTCCCTCCATCCAATTTTTTTTCTGGTTTGACTTGGCACAGAGATTAAGAAAAGTTAAAAAGTATAAGGACTTTCCATTGGTTACCCTTGATGTGATAGAATAAAGTGAAGAGTGTAGATTAAAAGTTTTTTGTCAAAATAAGAAACGGGAAAGAAACTTTAGACAACCCTAAAAGGAAAACGAGAGAAATTATTATAGAGGGAGTACATTACTTCTTTACTGTATTGTTACTATAATTCTTGTCCTACTTAGATTAGAATTTTCTCTTGTAAACCGTATATATAAGGATGCGTCTTTCATTATTTAATAAGACTAATTATTATCAAATTGTATCAGGGTATCAGAGTTAAAGTTCTCAAAAACATATTCCTTCCTTTTCTAACCGAGCACATCGCCGGCCTTTGTTCACAGTGGTCGACTTTCTGACAGCATGGCATCACGGACCGATCTCAACGAGCGTGCCTAACAGTCGTCGTTCATTATCTTTCCTTTTCTCTCTAGAAAAATCCATTTATCTCTCTATCATCCAAAAGAAATCATGTGCTTGACCGAAGAAAGGGAAAGTTGCATTTATCTGTATTTTATTCTAGAGATCGAAAGCATTGAAAACGATAGAGAAACAAAGAACGGTTCAAAAGGAGAAAACAAGAAAGTCATCGCCTTCTCTCCAATCACCAACATTCTCACCGCAAAAAACTCAGCAAACGTAATGCTAAGCTTGTTTGTCATGCAATAAAGATCTAGCTCTCTACTTCTAAAGGCTATCCTCACAAAACTATTTCCGACGACTCAATTCAGTACGTGTGCTCTAAATTGCTTCTCGTTATTGATGATTAGCTTGCGGGGGAATATTAAGAACAATAGATGTATTAGGAAACAGAATATTACTATTCATTACCTTTCTTAATACATTACTTTCTTAATATACTGTTAATATAATCATTCTTCCACTTAGATTAGAATTATCTCTTGTAATCCCGATGTATAGATATATATACTTCATTATTTAATAGGACCAATTCTTATCAAATTATTGAATAATCAGAATAGTTGTATTTCTCAAAAATATTGAAGATATATCTTAGTATATATAAAAGAGATTCCAAACATAACTAGGAACCATATATACAAGCTGATTAAAATATTAATTTTACCATAATTGATATTGACTTCTAACACACACCCCCCTCAAGGGGAACGCGGAGACACGAGCAGAAGCTTGGAAACAAGAGCTTGAAAACGTAGCTTTGACAATGGTTTAGTCACCAGGTCAGCAAGTTGATCTTCAAAGAAAATATGAGATACACTCATAGTGCCAGTAATAACCTATTTGCAAACAAAGTGATAGTCTGTAGCCACATGTTTCAGATGCTTGTGAAACACCGGGTTTTTTGTGAGACATGGAGCCAACTAATTATCAAAGAAAAGTCATGGAGGAGATAACGGTATGCACAGATCATCAAAAATATATTCGAGTCACATAACTTCAGAAGCTGCGGCCGAAAGAGCTCTATACTCAGCTTTAGTGGAGGACTTGGATACTCGAGTACGTTTTCCGATACTCCAAGATATCATATTTGGACCAAGATATCCCATAACAGAGCGCCCCTCAGTCAAGTCATTCGCCCAGTCGGAGTCATGTGTATGCCCATAACTGAAGATCATTAGACTGGAACAGAAGACCCTGTCAATGGTCCCTTCAACAAATTGCATAATCCGCTTCAAGTTCTGAAAATCATTTTCTGTAGGGTTATGCATGCACTGACGAATATACTCCCTCTGTCCCATAAAGTATTCTTTCCACCACTTGTTTTGTTGAACTTTTGATGTAGTTTTTAAATATGTATGTTTATATTTTTTATTTCTATACCAATATTTAAGTAAAAAAGATTAAAAAACATGGAGTTTTTCTTTGTTTTGCGCAATGCAAAGAAAGATATGGGATAGAGGGAGCAATTAACAGCAAACTAAATGTCAAGTCTAGTTGTAGTGAGGTATTGAAGACCTCCAACTAAATTACAAAACAAAGTAGGATTGGGGAACAGATCATCCCCCCATCCATTGGCATCAGACTACCGAACTTGAATAGGCATCGCCGTTGGCTTACAGTCCTCCAAGCTAGAACGATGAAGAAGTTCAGTAGCATACTTTTTCTGAGAAGTTAGAAGAGAGGAAGATGTTCGAGACACCTCAAGACTAAGAGAGTAGTTAAGGGGCCTCAGATCTTTTGTTTGAAACTGGCGACACATACGTGTAATAAAATCCTAAACTAGAGTAGATCGAGGAACTCCCTGTAACAATAATATTGTCAACGTAAACAAGCAAGATCAACATACCAGTCGAGGTATGCAAGATAAAGAGACTAGCATCATGTTTATTTCGCTTGAACCCGTAAGCAAGTAAAAACACAGAGAGGCATTCTTACCAGGCTCGTAGAGCTTGTTTTAACCCATACAAAGACTTTGTGAGTCTACAAACATGACAGGAGAACATAGAATCAACATCGCTTGGGGCTGAACCATATATAGAAATCTATCAATTTGTCCAAAAAAGAAAGACATTAGTTGGCGAAGTGGTCAATCATAAAAAACAACAAGATTGAAAACAATAAAAATAGTCTAATCTTTAACCACATGACTAAAAAGTCTTAAAATAGTCCAAGCCATACTCCTTACTGTAACCTTTGGCGACAAGGCCTGCTTTATAACGTGAGACCGACCCATCTGCATTATGCTTAACTTTGTAAACCCATTTATAGCAAATCAGGTATCGACCCAAAGACTTAAGAACAAGAAACCATGTGATCTATTTTATCATGGCGGTATATTCCTCATCTATAGCGTGACACCAAACCTCATGTTTAGAGGCCTCTTTATATGTCAAAGGCCCATGAATAGAGGGAGAAGAGTGGATAGAATTAGAAAAGAGTTTAGGCTTAAAATATCACTTTTAGCTTGATTGGTCATATGGGGAGTAGGGTGATGCAAGGGAGGGATGGGACTTGGACTTGCCTCGAGTTGGATATTTTGGATAGAGGCATCTTGTGGGGAGCTTTTCGGTGATGGTGGGTTCCACCAGAGGAAGGATAGGAAAGAGAGGTAAAACTCCAAAGAAAGATTTAGATGAAGTAGGAAGGGTAGTGACTGAGTAAGAAAAACATTTTCTTTAAACTGTACATGACGAGAAACATAGACTTGTTTAGTGGAGGGGTCATAACAGTGATACCCTTTGGACAATGGTTCATACCCAACGAACACACAATGTTTGGAATGAGGCTGTACCTTGTGATCAATTTCATGACGAAGATGAGGATAAGAAAGACACCCAAAGATAGATAAATGTGAGTAATCAGGTCAAGTGGCATACGGAAGTTCATAAGGGGACTTATGGTGAAGAGACCGTTTGGGCACGCAGTTAATGAGATAATTGGCAGTGCGTAGTGCTTCAACCCAAAATATGACAGGAAGAGAAGATGTATAAAGGAGTGTCACCAAAGTCTCAATAAGATGTCTATGCTTACGATCAGCTACCCCATTCTGTTTAGGAGCTTGACAAGGTTTATGATGTTGTACNCCAAACTGACTGTTCACATACTCGCAGCCATTATCAGTTCGAAAAATTTTAATTTCTATATCAAACTAATTTTTGACCATGGAGTGAAATCTCTGAAAAACATTAAAAGCATCAGATTTATGTTTAATAGGATACACCCAACATAATTTTGTAAAATCATCCACAAAATTAAGTCTGTTAGAAGTCTGAAACTACGAGAAGATAACACCTTCAAGAGTAATTCTCTTAGAAGTAGAGAGACAAATATTTGTTGTGTGATGAACAAGCTTGAGAATGCAGGTGCTGGGTTTTTTTCTAGCAGAAAGTGTTGGCAATAGGAGCGAGAGCGCTGAGTTTCTTTTATTCCTTTTTGGCCATTCTTTGTTTTCTTGTTGCTTTCCATGCTCTCGATCTCCAAAAAACACCAACATATACAACTTTGCAGCTCTTTGATCACGTACAAGATAGGTTTTGAGAGGGACAGGGGTAAAGGATGGTGGTTGTTAGGCACGCTCATCGAGATTGATGACGATTGTTAAGCACACACACTTTTTCATAGAAAGAGAGGGATAATTGGACAGTGGCTATTACGCACACTTGTCGAGATTGGTGGTAGCTATTATGCACAGACATAATTTTTTTAAGATAAAGGAAGAGGGATAAGGAGCGATATGCCATGACCTGTGGCGGTTGATCGTCGATGAAGAAGACTGGCGGTGGCGCATGATTTTAAAAGAAGGGGTGCTAGGTTTGTGAGAAGGGATACCTTAACTCCGATACCATGTTGAATAATGGAATAATATTATTACTCAAGGAATAATGGAATGCATGGAAGAGTGTATATAGATGGGATTATAACCCCAACTAGGAACAAGAATCAATAATAGAAGCTGACTAAAATTCAAAGATTACCATTATTATTATTATTATTATTGTCTAACACTATATGTTTGCATTATTGGTCTAATAAGTCATGCTTTGGGAATAAAAGCATGAAGGTCCTATTTTGGTTTGATCTCTATGTTTTATTTATATTTTAGTCTTTCTCCCTAGGCATAAGAGGATGATGTAACTCAAGGCATTCCTTACAAAGATCGTAAGATTGCACACTGAAACCATATCATAAAGATTCAGAAACCATATTTGGATTCTGATTTTCTAGATTTCTTATTCTTTTCACACATGTCATGTAACAT